AACCTTTAGGATGTTGTATTGTGTCTGAAACTTGTCTATGGATAAAATTTTAGATGGAAATCTTATAATGAAGGTTTCTGAAAGGGTCTTTCCTAGAGAAGGAAAATTTCAATATAAGAATGTCATAGTAACAGAAAAACTGATTTTACGAATATAGATGATCTTAACGAGAGTAGTTTTGTTGTGAAAGTGTCAGATCTTTTGATTCGGTTCTATCTTGAAATTCGAATATTAAATCATCTAGTTGACGTGAGCCATCTGCAAGACACACTATCAATTCGAAATTTGAAAATCATATTTTCTGTTAACACAACATTCATTTAAAAATATTCTTTTAATTTAGTTTTTATTAAATCTTCAAATGTTTCTTCACAAGTATCATTAAATAATTCTTTAATTTATATTCATACAATAAGTATTCGACAATCGATAGTTTATTTTATTTGGTTCACGTTATGCATCAAGTATAAATAGTGATCAATTCATAGAAAATAGTGCAATACGACAGTAAAATAAACAAAAAAAACGAATCTGATTTATTCTGTTTTTTTCTTTTCCATTTTAGTTTTTATTGAACTAAAAAATTAGTCTTAAAAAATATATTAATACAAATGAAAGTGATTTTCAAGCTGCTGTACTCAATTTACTTGTTCAATTACTTTTAATTCGTGTTAATTATAGTTGATTAGAAGCTGATGAAATTCGTTGCATTTCTAATCGTTTCGTTTATTTTTCAATAGCATTTTATTTATTGTATTGTTGAATTTCTTGTTATGTTATCACATGATACACTTCATTCAAAACAAGTTATTAAAGTACAAGATTTAATAAAACATTATGATACATTATTAGCAAGTGAACATGAACCTGAAACACATGGTAGAAAGCAAAAAAAAAACATTTTCGAGAAAAAGAAATGATCGTTAAAATTCTTTATTTAGCTTTAACAGCATTAGAACCAGTTTTATATGATTTTTTTTCTTGTTCGAGTTATGCGAATAATTAAAATTCCTAAAAAGTTTTATTAAATGAGAGTGAACAAAAAGTGTCCTTCTATAAAGTCTCAAATATCTTAGAAACTCGTGAGGGTGTGAGTGTGGGTGTGTAGATGTAATTTTTCTCCTCGATTGAACCCACACCCACACTTCAACGAATTGATGATCTGAAAATAATCATCTTGTTGTTATGTATTTGAGTTTGAAGGAAAACTAGACGTCTTAATTATTATAAACAAAAGTATCTTTTCATGTCATGTGTATGTACTGAAAAAATAATAATAGAATTTATATTGTTATAGGCTTTACGATTGTTAACAGTTATTGTTAATAGTGTTCAAATTGAAGATGATAAATGGAAACGTCTTTCATGATAAATTGTCGATTTACTTCTTGCTCATTTACAATCTCAGGTTATTTTTTTGTTCAAATAGGATCAATCACTTTTGGATATTTATTCCACACAACTAACACTATTTGATGTTGTGTCATCAGTTGAATTACGACCAATTTATCCATTTGTTATTGCTTTTCGAGTATTAGTAAATAAAAATATTCGTTGTTTTTATTTATAAAATTTTCCTATAGTTTAAAATTTTTTTTAGAATGTCAATTGTCAATCTACAAATCGATAATTAATCAATATAAATATAATACTTCGATATCTTGTACAAAATTTAACTGAAGATGCTATATTAACACGATAGAATGTTGTTTTATTATCAGTTGATGGAACATGAGATGAAACTTTTAGTGGGTAAGTATTCGAAATGATTTTATTTATAATTTAAAAACTATTATTCTCGTTTTTGTTTTCAGAGCTCTTCTTCGAATTTTACATGACGTAATATTACGAATTTTAACTAATACTTGACAATTATGTGGTCAAATCAATATGACATTAGTTTCTCTTGCATCCGATTATCTTTATGTACATATTACCCATTAATTTGAAGATAAAACTTTCCTGCAATTCATTAATTACTAATGAGCTAGCGAAAAACATTTGACTTTAAAATTCCTATGCTAATATAAGATCTATGATTTTATTTTAGCTAAACAATTTCGAACAATTGTAAATGATTTATGTCAATGATTAATTCATGATGAAACTGTACATAATCTTGATACATTTTCATACTTAACTAGTTTAAATGAACGTTCTAAATTATTATCATCATTTTATATCTCATTATTATTACAATGGACACATTCTTACTATGCTTGATTATACACAAGAAGCATGGTGGTCACCAATGTTAACACCATCATCATTAATAACACATTTATCTATAAGTAGTCAATTACAATCTTATTGTGATTTAATATATCATCATGAATTATATGTTGAACATTTTACATCAATAACAACACATTATCAATTATTATTATTATTTTTTATTGAACAAAGTGATACATGCACATATGTACATAATTTATCTGGTGTTATACATCATACATCAGTTGCAAGTCATTTATTCGTTTGTGAAGGAATACATTCATATGAAAGTGGTCTTATATTAGTTTTATTAATTGAACAATTTCTTCCATTACCATTAAATAAACAATTATGATCTAAATATATACCATGAATTTTATAAATATTATCAATAACAATATCAATCGATATTATTAAAGAAGATTTTAATAATCTTAATTGTTCTGTGGATATAACAAGAAAAATTTATGCACAAATGCTTAAAAATATAACTTATAAAATATGATTACCAATTATAATATCACCGGTATCTTTTAGTTTAACTTATCGAAATAAATATATATATGTATAATAAAAATTTTAATCCAATTAAAAGAAATGTTTTTTTTTACTTTGACATTGTCTATGTGCTAGTAATAGATGAGACTTTTGAATAATTCAAAATTTCGAAAAATATTTTGAAATAGAAAATATGCAGAATTTCAGGTAATACAAATCGTAAAGGAAGGCATTTAAGCTACATTAGTACAATGACCGAATAATTTCTCTCGAATCTTATTGATCAAATTCTCAGTCGTGCTATTTGTACTATTACAATTAAAGAAAACGACGTCTTTCTAATATTATATTTCGAAATAAATTGCATTCGAGAATTTTGATAAACTTTCTATAAGTTTGAACTCGTGAACTCCAAAAGCGTATTGGATTTTTTCCACAGCATTAAATTTTTAGGATGATTCTTATAGTAAATGAAAATAAGAAACAATATAAATCTGTTCTTTGTTTGTTTTCCTAGAATTTTGTATAGTTATATCAAATGAAACAAATTAAAATGACATTGAAACAACACCTAATACAATTTATGAAAAAAGTCTTTTATCATGCTTCTAATAATCAACCATATTCAATTGCATTCATAGATTATATATCAATATATTTTGATACAATACAAAATTATGTTGAATTAACATGTCAATTTCCAACAGGTGATATACATGATTTATTACGTTTTATAATATTTATATCAGAAATAATTTATATAAATATATTTAAAAAAAAACATCATTTATTAGTTGTGAAATAGATCAAATAATATCATGTTATACATTATCGAAAACACTATTATCAATATTTGAATATCTTTATCAACGACATAGTTTAACTATATCAAACATATTATAATCATATTTAAATTTAATTGAACCAGATAAAAGATCATCTTTATTATTTAACAAAAGAAAAATTAAATATATATATATCATATATTTATTGACATGCTTTACATTGTATAGCTATATTATTATTTTGTTTACCAATATATATATATAAAGACAATTTTGGAGTTGGTTGATTATTAAGAATACAATTTCAAGAAATATAGGCTTCATTTTTAGCTTCGATTAATTCATCACAAATCAATCTAATGATGAAAATAAACAAACAACAAATAATTTTTTTTAAAAAAAGAAGAAACTTTAGAAACAAATGCAACACAATGGTAACAAGATTGAAAAATAAACTAGATTTTATCTGTTTTATTTTTTTATCGATGGTCAATATATGCAAACACGTTCAACATTAGATACAAGTTCAAATAATTTATTTACAAATATTGAACGATTAGGTACACGTGATTTATTATTCTATGGACAACTTTCATATGATACTATATTAACATCAATCCAAAGCAATAATACATTACCATTATCAGTTAATGTAAGTCTCACATATGTTTTAATAATCGACAAATAGAACTCTAAGTTAAAAGAAAGATAAATTCATTGCTAAATTACTCATTTCAACAAACAGAAAATCTAGTGTTTCTCTGACTTTGATTTGATATATAATACATGCAAACTATCTTATTTCATAGAGATAAAAGATTATATCAATAATTTCAAATATATTCTATCAATCAGAAAATTAGAGTATGAACATTTTCTTTGCTGGCATCCATCTTTAAAAATATATAATTTAGAGTTTATTTGATCACTTATTTTTTCATCATGGTTTTGATTTAACATTATCATTACAAATTCTAATTGAAATATATGTAATATTAATTAATAGGTTCAATTATATATCCATCTGATTTATTTGTACATGGTTTGATGAAGATGATTTAATAATATCCTTAATAAGTTATAATTTATGTAAATCTAGTATATTACTTGAACAAAGAACAAAAGAATATAATGAATTATATATAAATTTAATTGAACGTAATTATAAATTAATAACGAAAACTCATGCATATGCATCATGTTTATTTTTACTTGAAAGTCATGAAGTTGATTTAAATTCATATGATATTTGGTTATTATTAATGAAAGATGATAATTTAACACAAAAAATTATTTCAATTAGTCTTGAAAGACTTTCAATAGTTGGTCAATATCCTAAAAATGATATATGGTGTTAATACTTTCATGTGTTTATACATTATTACAACGACCAAATAAAAATACAAAATCCATTAAATAATGAACTTGTTAATAAAGAACAAACAATAATTGGTAGTTCATCAATAATATCATCATCAGATAATATTCTTATTGAACTTGTTGAAGAATTATATGAACGTACTAAACAATCATCAACATTACCATATGAAGCTTTACTTTTATTACGTCCATTAACATTATTACTTGCACACATTAGTTCTTTTTTTCGTGCTTTAATTAATGCACTTTATTCAGCTAAAGTTAATGACTGGACTTTATTATCAATGACAAATATTGCACAAAGATAATCACTATGTATGGCTATATGGGAGTTAACTTGTCTTATGTTAAGTGCATGTCTATCACAGGGTGTGGGTGTGGACGAAGACAAGACCTATAATGATATCCACACCCACACC